TTAGGTTAGATTCGGGCACAAAGATTTGTTGATTAGACTGTTACACATACATATAATGAGTTCTGAATACTTCATTTTTTGATTTCGAGGCTTTTTACATGTATTCGCTGTTACATGTGTATTTTATGGATATTGCCCTATATCTCTGCAAGTATGATTGCTAGAGTCTTGAAACTTCGCATACACATTTGCCAGCCCGTGAAGGTCAGTCAAGGTAAAAAAAATGGTTCTATGCGCATGCGCAACGCTCAAAATGGCCTAAAACGCGTTTTCGTACAAGTACGATTTTCTCCGCTTGGGGGCGTTTCCGCATAAAATGACCTATATATTTGGACTCAGCTCGTCGAGTTCTATGAGTACATAAAGTTTCATCAAGAAATTCAGCAGGCTGGATACGGAAGTTATACCACAGTTTCCAGGAAAATAATGACATTCAATTGTTGGCTTGACAAATTAATCAGAGTCAACTATTGAATCAAATTGTTTGATATTTATCAAGAGTTGATCAATTAATCAACCCTTTTTGAAGTTGTAAATATTTGCTAAACGATTAGAAGTAGATAATTGATGAGAACCATTTCAATTTAAATGCAATCAAACAATGTTTCATTATTATTAGGAAAAGATTCTGCATTTTCTCAGTTCAAGTTGTCATTCAAATTATATAACTAATTGAATAATCATGGTTAATGTCAGATAAGCTTGAGTCTTACAAGAGTAATCATTAAAGTTAATATTTGATGATTATAACGATGAAACTTTCTAGATTTAATGTTCAATATTTTCCATTACATAAAGCAGTTGTTGAAAAGGTTTTTGCTTATTTCAAGAGTCTTTATCTTTTTTAGAGTCATTTTTTCTCTTCTCTTTCTCTGAATCTTCATTTAATGAACTTTTAAATATGTGAAAGAAGGAACCGGAAACAATAAAGGTTGACTCAGGCAGACAGAGATGAAAGACTTGCAAGATTTGATTTGTTAAATTTAAATTTTCTTGGCAAACCCTGAATTGGGTTACAAAGCTTGGCTTAATGGTAAATCTGTTGAGGTTTTTTGTCTTCTGAGAATCCTTGAGTTACCAGAAGATGATGAGCAAAAGTTTAATATGATAAGGTAAATAGAAGAGGTAAGACGATTCTTGACTCATAATATTTTCCTTTCAATATCTTTTGCTTTTACCTTTTGGATTAACCTGAATGGTTGAGAGTAATTTGAAATTAATTAATTAGTTGTTAGACAATGAGAAATGTTGAGACTTGAGTCTAATAATCCTGGTTGATCAGATTGATCATTATGGCCGTTATAGATTGATCAATAATCATGTTTGATTGTTAATTCCACTTGAGTAAATCAATCAATCTTCTTGTGCATACGATATTACCATTTATCTGTTTGCTTGTTCAATATTTAACTTGAACCAGGATGAGATTAAATTGGTATTATTCTGAGTCACAGATAGTCATTATTTAGCTTATCAATTGCAATTTGCTTCTTAATTGATTTGAAAAGCTATGAACAATGAGCTAAATGGTTTATTTTCATGATTACAACTTGAAGTATTTCAAATATTCACAGTAAATCATTTTGCGGGACCAATTGTGATTATCTTTCAGGTTAATAAAATTCTGTTTCTATTGAATAGATTAGCTAAATTGTTCATAATGATTATAAAACAATGGAAATGTGATATTATTTTTTTGTCAAAAGCAAAAGCAAGTTTATGCAAATAACAATTTTTCATCTTTTTACATGTAAAGGAAGGAAGGAAGAAAAGTAAGCAAAAATTTTGTAAAGCAACTGTATACATTTTACATTTCATTTTGGGATTTCGTTTTCTTAATAACATTGTAGTTAAAATGTTGACGAAGTAACAACAAAATAATAATAATAGTAATAATAATATAACAATAATCTATGTATAATATCTTTTTTTTCGAGTTTTTTCTTCTTCATGTTGTGTATTTGTGTTGGTAGTTTTTTATGGGTTAAGGATGGGTCTTTGTGTGTATTGTTTTCTGGTACATACGACTTGATTTGACTTGACTCGAAGTGGCTTAATTCAGACTATTGGTCTTTGGGAAGTTGATTGTTGCAGATCAACATCATCTTGTTTCTTTGATGAGAAGATTTACAAATTTAGAAAAAAGTACACTTTGAAGAAGGAAAAATGTAAAAACTGCAAATCCTAAGGAAGCTGTAGTTATTCCTGCAAGTACATCTAAAATATAGTGATGCGAGGTGTAGACAGCGGAAAAGGAGATACCAGTTGTTATAATTATAAATATAATAATTGATGGTAACGGGAGTCTCAATTTGAGTCCATAAAATGTGACTAATGATGGATAAGAAACATGAAGGGAAGGCATTGTGGCGAATATATTGGAACTTTTGGAATAGATTAAACCAAATAATGGCCAACCAATGATTGAATCAAAATCCCTTAAACGTCCTGGTGATGGAGTTGTGTCCGGATCAAACCAGAATCCATGTTCTTCTATGTACCATGGAGGTGCTGAAGGGTAAATATAGTAGATAGCGAAGCCAATTAAGTTGATAAAGAGGAAATTCAATGAAAAATGAATGAAGGCTTTGCGTTTTTTGGAAAAGAAAAGGTAACCCGCAAATGATAATGGTAATGGGATCCAAGTTAAGTAAAATAAACCCGACATTAAAGTTAATGCTGGGGTTGCCTTGAGTCGCCAGAATTCATTGTGAGTATACCTGGTTCCTTTAATGCATAGGCCAAAGAGTGATTTTTCAAGTGAATAAAGACTTTGAATGGCAACTGGACGGAGTCTATAATTTGGGAATGCCTTCATATAATCAAAGATTATCCAATAAACGATGAATATACTAAAACCGATGATAAATTTACGCGTTGTACTGGTTCCATTGTATAATAGAGTAAATAATAAGGCAATTAATACGTGTTCAACCGATAAACCAATAAGTACTTGAGTTAGGAGAAGGTAAGCTGCTGATAGAACCAGAGATGTTATTAAGTAACCAATCCGTGAACGACAGAAGGTTTTCGTTGAAAGTGAAACACTGTCGGCATCGACGATGAGCAATTGTTTAGTTTCACAGGAACGAGATGATGATATTGATAAGCTTCGTTGTATCTTCTCTACAGGTGAAGGTGATGATGGAGTATATGATATGGTTGATGGACGAGGCGAACTTAAATCTTTCAAAGATTTCATTTGTTAACCGGTAATAACAAAAGATGAGGAGGGTGAAGATGATGATGGTAAAGGTAGTGAAGGTGACTAGTGGATATAATGGCGATATTCATAAGGTGATAACCAACTGAACACCTTATGCTGTAGGACAAGTAATTTTTAAAAAGAGGGAAAGTGAGAAAAGTAAATAAAAAAATGGATTAAAACCAAATAAATCAATCAAAACTTGATGCTGGGTTACAATTGAAACAAATACATTGATAGAAATATTACCTTTTGGTTTGTTATCACAATTTAACCATAATAATTAGTAAATCCAAGACTAAATTCAAGTGAAGTTGCAGATAATGCGATGGTAACTCCATTTAATGGCCATTAACTAAAGTACCCAATAATCTGGCTTGGGAGCAAGTTATTCATTTAAAATTCACGAGGTAAACGAAGAGAAAGCAAATGAGTGAAATGCAAGTAAAATAGGTAAACAAGTTAAAAAAACATTAAGTCAACAAATTATGATCACAAAGTAAATGTATTAATAATGTTTACAATTGTGTAGTGAAATTGACACTATTAAAAAACGAGAGACAAGGAGAGAGCAGAAGAGAAACAAGTTCAACTGGAGACTAGGAAAGAAACAAGAAGCAAATTGTTGATCTTTCTTTATGTATTATCGGCTGATAGCAAAAAAATAGTGAGTTGAAAGATATGTCTATGAAAGCAATGATGATGGTGATGGTGATATGAATGAAAGATAGTTACAACTGTGGGCCAATCTGTTGGCCCACAGACACAAAATTACAACTTCAATTGAAAAAGAGGTGAAAAAACAAAGAGCAGAGAGTAAGGGAGAAAACAAAAAGTACAGACTGTTGAAAAAGTTGATGAAAATGGGAAGGACTTGAAATGCGCAAACATTAGTCGAACCTTGTGATTAGAAAAAACTAGAAATCATTTTTTACGCAAAGGGAAAACATTTAAACCCCCAGCACGAACTTTTGAAACACCGAGTAACAAGAGATAAAGAGAGACAAAGATTTATTAATGTTGCATGCTGATTAGCTTAACAGTTAAAGTAGCGGTACCTATGAGCTACTAGAGGCAGTTAAACAAGGTAAATAAAGTTCGTTCGACCTTTGCCTACTAGTGTCATCTAGTAGCATTTACCTTCTTACTTAAGTCTCAATCTTTTAACTTTTCCTTGATCACAATTTTATATTTTGTTTGACTCACATCCAGAGTCCATTTGAAAATGAAACAAATCTCTGATCATTAATGGTTGACCAAAAGATCTTTCCTCAACCTTATGTTATGAAAGAATCCGAAGTGATGACTGGAAAAATTGTATTGAAGATTGAATATTTAACTGTGAAATTAAAAGATTTCTCAACGATAATTTCAACAGCTATTTCTGAGGATTGACTAAACCCAATTTCAATTTTGTTTTTGTTTTCATTTTGAGATATTATTCACTAAAAACTCAATGACTCAATTTTTCAATGTTTATGGTTATATTGATCAACTGATTGATAATCTAGAAATCTCTACCAAAATTAACGCGAATCAACGTCGAAATGAGTTATCAATTCGTTATTGAACTCTAAACCCTTACAAATAAATAAAATTATCGTGATTCATAAATGAAATGATTTATTTGCACTGACGTTCGAGTTTTTGTTATCTCTAAATAATAATTGAAATGGAATCATATAAATATTTCTACTTTTTTGGCAAATATTAAACAAATTGTAATTAAATCTGTTTGTTGAAATCAACCCATTCAACACTTTCCCAGGTTTCTGGTTCTTTAGTTAGGATTAGAAATAATAGATGGCATTGCCTTTCGATCAATTGGTCCATTTCAATCGAGTTGATGCTTCAAGTTTTTGGTCGATTCGATTAATCGATTTATTTACAAAAGGAATCTTTTATTACCTAATTGGGCGAAGTCTTTTGATTGAATCGATCTTTTGTTGGGTGGGATCGAATCTTTAACTTTCATCTTTCTCTTCTTTCGCTTAAAATACCAATTCCAGTTGTTTCTTTCATTTAAAGGTTCTAGTTTTAGTTTATCTAAAATTGTTGAAACGAATTGTTATTAGTAATTTTCTTTTCTTTTGTTTAAGTTATTTTTTAAATTTTCCTTCATTTTAATCTTGCTTCTTTACCTTTTTTACATCTGTTAATCTTCATTATAACCCTATCAAATTATTTAACCATGACTGATAAGGATGTGGATGAATATGAATTTGAATATACCAAGGTAAGCTTAGCCCAATGTCTTTCGACACCACCTTTATTAGATTCTCAATTGTTTAGATGAACTCTCTGTTTTAACCTACTTCTCACACCTGTAATCATCCACTTTCATATCATTAAATATCATCATGGCTACAATGGAAATACGTAAGGTTACCAAAACAACTCGAGTAATCAATCAAAGACAATTGTCAGACCGAAAAAAGCCTGTTGGAGGTGGATTATCTCTTCTATATGGTAAAGATTTGAAGGAATACGAAAATATACCCATTGAGGATTTGTTAAACCAATTGACGGAAGAGGAATTAGAACAGTTAAGCAATGATGTTGACCCAGATGATTCCCATATTCCACCTTCATTGAGATGTAGAGAGCAAACCAAGAAAAGTCCAACTGGACCTTTGGATAGGAAAAAATTGTTGGAGTTTCTCAAAAATTATGCCCTCAACCAAGAAGATTGGCCAGAAAACAAGCCTTTCCAACCTGGTGTAAAGAGAGGTAAAAAGACAGATTTAATCCTTATTGGTTAATTGCCAGAAAACTATCTTAATTTTATAATTAACTTGTCGAAACGTCTTACTACTTTTCTTTTCCTTCTTCCCCTCGCCCCATGCTTCTTCTTCATCATCACTTTTTCATCCTTTATCATTCCTTCAATTATCTTCACAATTTTCCTTATCTTACTTAATCAATCATTATTAGAATCATCATTCATAGTTTACATGTGATTTTACACATATTTCCTATTGGATTTCAAATCAACTTTTTCAGTGTTTATGAGGCCAACAAAAAGTGAATGGTTAGAGAAAATTCATAAATAGAAATTTGTTCATAGGAAGTCAACCTGATTAAGGTCATCAACCCATTACACACTTTGCTTCGTTAGCATATTCTGTTAGTTCGTTGTCTGTGTTTTTTGAACTTTTTTGAAAAGATATTTTTGCTTGGTCGTTTTTTTAAAATCATAAGATTAATTTTAAACCATTCTGTACCCACTAATTTAACCACTTCCTTATCAGTGATACTTTGTTACTTTGAATATGATATCATAAAAGACTTGGCAGTGGTTAAAAACTTGTCAAATTATCTTGAACTTTCTGCAAGTTTTCTCTTGCTTATAATTTTCCACTTCATCATGATGTTACCCAAGATTAGACTAAATGCTGAAACTATTGATTAATACAATGATTGGAAGTAGTTATTTAATCTTAACCATGATATTCATGATTTTAATTTCAAGCGGGTGAAATTTGTGTGAAATTTGTCTGAAAATCAAATCCCGCCTGATTTGGGATTGAGTAAAAATTAGTGTCAATTATCTGGCAGTTTACTGAAGTTTGTTTTAACATTAGAGCCGCCTTGAATTACTGATGATAAATGGTTTCCTATCACTTTCATTGCCATCAACAATGCTATTAATTTGAATGTTGTAAATTTTTTCAGGTTCTGTATGGAAACCCAAGGAAATGCCCAAAGTTTCTGACGAGGAAACTCGGATAATGCTTGATTTGGATGACGAGTCCAGTGAAGCTTTGAAGAATGCATCCGAATCCGATCTTGTTGATCTTGCTGGTATTTTGGGCTTACACTCCCTATTAAATCAAGACCAGTTTTACGCTTCCATCACCAACAAAGGTCAAGGATCAGAGGCAAAATTTGAATCAATTGTGAGAGCAACAGTTCCCAAGAAAGTACCCAATCTACCAGACAATGCCACTGATGTTGGTAAAACAGCCAAACAAGTTGTTGAAAATGACAAAAAGTTACAAGAACTTAACTGGAATAATATTAAACACATACCAAGAGATTCATTCAAGAAATTATTTGAAGGGCTCAAGTCAAATACAACTTTGCAAACGTTAGATTTGGCCAATACTGGATTGACTGATGGTCCTACCGCGGTAATTATTAACAAAAAAATTATGTCAACAAAGCATCAAAAAACATGAATCTATTTTAAGTTTGATGCCAATTCTTGAAATATATTTTGGCGGATTGATCCAAAAATAGATTTTTGTTGATTTTACTCTCCCAACATTAATCTATAATTACTGATATAATAATTTCTCGTTGATTTAGGTATTGGTCGAAGCCCTCAAAGAAAATAAAACATTGACCTGTCTCAACTTGGAATCAAATTTTTTGTCTGGTCCAATGGTCAGGGATGTTGTTGCAGCTATTAATGTTAATCAAACGATACGTGAATTCAGAGCTTCCAATCAAAGACCTGCCATTCTCGGTAATCGAATTGAAATGGAAATAGCGAAATTGATTGAACAAAATAACACACTGCTTCAACTTGGTTTACATCTTGATGCTCCTGATGCTCGTATGAGAATAGCTCAACAATTACAGAAGAATAAAGATGTCTGTAAGTATATTTTCTCTTCTCTTTTTTCATTAATTTCTCCCGCTGTTCAGATATTTTCCTCATTCTGTTCTAAACATCTTTCTTTGTTTTTCAAGGAAAATTTATACTTAAACTTTAGTCTTAAGACTTGCTTGCAAAAGTAACAGTTGATAACTCTTGTTAAACCTCAAATCTTTTCAACACCAACTCACTTTTTCACATCGCATACGCATATACGTGTATACCCATAACCATGGCATTAGACCTTCAAAACTTATAGTTTTTGTATATTTCACAGTATATTACATCTCTTTCAATAAGCATCGTTAAAGAACAGGTCTCTTCTGATTAAATTTATTAACGTTGAGTGATGTTTATTCGGAAAAGCTCTTGAAATTTACTTTACCCAATTTTAACTCGTCTTTTCATTCAGTCTGTCTGTCATGTTTTCAAGTCAATATATTTATCAAAAATTATTTTTTAATTTATAAGCTTAATGCTAATTAAAGAATGATTGAAGTGAAAGTACATCCCTGAAATGCAATGAATTAATATTTATTAAGTGCTCTAATCTATGCCAATATTTCAGAATGCGCAATAAAATTTATTCTGCTTATCTTTAATAGGTTCAGATTTGATAAGATAACCTTGTTTAATATGATTAACTCATTTTCAATTATTGACAAGTTTCAATGAGTTGAATCAGTTAAAATTGATAGAAAATATTACTTCTAATCAAGGGTATCCGAAATGTTACATTTTTTCATTTCAGAAGTAAAGGAGTTGCAGGATTTTTCGATTTATTTCTTAATAGCTTATTTGCAGGACTTTTCATAATTATTGTGGACTTACCTTTGATAAAACTCTTTTCTTTTGCATGTAAATGTTTGAGATGAGTTTTTAATAGTTTTACAAGTCATGCTAAAGCCTTCAATTTGCATATTTGTTTCTCTTATACTAATTATGTTTTTGGTTTTTCTCTTTTTTAGTGAGACTTCAAAGAATCGGATCTAAATCAAGTGTACCAAGTCAAGACAAGGATTTAGTCTCTGTGTGAAAACAAAGCTAGACTTGAGGAGGTGAGACAAAGTATTTTTGTTTGGCTCGTGATGCATCACTAACATCAATTTTACGTTAATTTCGCCATATTTTCTCGAAATTAAAGAGTTTATTCAACAAAAGGCTATTCAAGTCGAGCTGTATTTTATTTGGCTAAAACTATCACGTCCATTCGAATGTCGTTATCTCTAGACATTTCATCGTACTATTTCTTGAACCTCTTCATCTGGTATCGTCGTCTCCTCCTGTTCACGCGCTTTTCATCAACAAGTAATGCTCACTAAGACCTGAGTATCTCACGTTTTGGATTTTGTTCACAATCCTGATTAAAACATTCATCACCAAGATAATTGTAGATTATATCTAGAAACTTGATTTTTTTGACGCAGACAAACAAAAAAAAAAATGAATCCCATGCTATCAAGGGACAGCTAATTAATGATCTGACTTTGATTTATTTACAGTAAAATAAATCCTCAATGTAATGTAAATGCATGCCAATTTCTGGTGAATACTAAAAGCTTTTCAAGCCATTTCATTCAATTAGCAAAAACACCTTTTTTCTGTAACTTTTTTCTCTCACATTCTATCTGCCTCCAAATCTCTCAGCTAATATTATTGATTCACCAGGAAGTCTTTTTTTGCAGGGTGTATCATGTACATGGTCTTGAGATTATCTCAATTGGGTACAATTAAAGGATGACCATCAAGTCACGCTTTTTATTTCAATGCTCAATTATTTCGAAACACAATTATTGTATATTATTATACGAGTTATCATTTCTCATTACAATATTGTTTGTCATTCAATTTCTGTTTTCATATTTCAACCTGATTGAAACTTCGGCTTTAAATCACCTTTGAAAGCTTTAATCACATTTCCAATTTCATTTTCAGCTTCATCTAGATTAACCAATGTGAACTTCAATGAAAAGTTAAATCAATCCAGATTAAAACCATAAGCTTATCACCAAAGTCTCTCATTGGTATTGATTACTACATGATCACAGTGTCTTATTTCAAGTGCCTTAATTGTTTCCAGTTGGTCGATCAGATGTTGGAATCACTCGGATAACTTTCTTCCTGTACTGTGTAACTCTTTTTTCAACTTTATGCAAATGATCAGCTGCAAAAAAAGCAAGAGCACCAATGGTGGCAACAATCGTTAAAATATAAATATGAGTATCCAACGGAATATAATTTGAGTAATAGAAAGCAATGGCCGATGTCAAGTACTGGAAGCAGTTGAATATCGCAAATGGAGGTGCACTGTCTTCATGGTAAACTGAGCCAAGGAAGGCGTTTATCTGATTTTGGAAGCAAGCATCACCAAAGCCAATCAAGAAGCAACAAATTAAAGCCAAGATTAGACTAAATGGAAATGAAAAGAAATAATTTTGAGTGAAAAAGAAACACTTATTTTCAATTTACCTTGCATGAACTACTGCTGGCTCATCGGATCCATTCAGAGACACATGGAACTGCAGATTGAAATACATGACTGCAAAAGTGATTATGTGAATACAATAGCCAAGAAAAATGACAAAGTTGCTTTGTTTTCGCTTTTTTACGCTTCCTATTAAAATAGCCAAGAAACCTCCTGCGATTTCACCAAAGCCTGAAAACAAGTTGAGGATCATTATCATTAAACCTTAAAAGTAAATTGCTGTCAACTGCATTACCCGTCAAAACTCCAGAAACTCCTGAGAATCGTTTATGAGTAAAATTCGGTCGTCGTCTTGAGAAAGCCACTGATGCATTATAAACGCCACTGAAAAAACAACCTTCCAAACCTGACAAAATGACAATTCATTCAAGTTGAAACAATGGATTTACTCTTGATGACTCGACTTTTTACCTGTATAAACAAACACCAATAGCAGAAGAATCATTTTCTGACTTTTAATTAGCGTTAAAGTGTTGCCTGGGAACATAAAGATAACCATAATTAGTAAAACTTGTCAATCATCAATATTTGATTTTACTCAATGATTTCCAGGCTCCAACTTTTTTCCTCGGTGCATCTGTCGGCTCTCTTAAAGCAAACAAAGCCAATACTCCAAGAAGACTGCAAATGGTTAAACCTGTAAAGGTTATATTCCTTGTAGGACGATCAATGGTTCGGTGATCTTCAAACCGATTATAAACAATACTGTTTCCCACCAATAGACTGGTTTGATAAAGAGCCCAGAAGATTCCACTGTTTCTCATGATTGTTTCGTCCTTGCTGTTGATTGTCAACAAATTACCTTGAGCGGTCCATAATACTTTATAAGAAAGTGTAACAAAATGAAAAAAAAGTTACTCTTTAACTGTAATTGTGAATCGATTAACCTACCTGCTTGTCCAACTCCTAAACCAATTGCGGAAAAAACTAAGCCATCAGGTGTTGGAAATATAAATGATAAACTAGCTGAACTGTAAACAAAAAATTGATGAACCCTTTTAATCCAGTTGAACATTAAGTAAACTCACCTTAAAATCAAACCATGAACAATCATTGCCACTTTAGGACCCATCATGTCGATTAGAGAAGGCGAAAGACAACAAAATAAACCAAAAATGGCATAATTAACACCTAAAAGTTCATGAGCATTCCATTGTTTACCATTCCATTTGTCGGCAAACTCATTATTGACTGAATTTACTGCCAGTTCCTGATGATAATTTAAATGAGACAAGTAAATAAATTGAGATTAAACTTACCTCAATAAACATTGAAGTCCCATAACAGGTGTAAATGAAGAAAAAGGTGATTCCAAGTAAAGAAACATTCATTAAAGCGACACCAGATCTTTGTTGAGGTCGAGGAGTTAAACCCAACGCAATGGAAAGATCAATTTCATCCATTTTTCAACTGGATTGAGACAACATTTAATTTGATCCAAACTCAATTAATCGCATTATTATTACCAGTTAACCTTCTCTATTCAATTCTCACTCGAAACATCTGAAATCTGATTGCCCTCTCCAGTGATTAAGTTAATCTTGTGACAATTAATACTTTTCTTACAAGACATTTACCAGTTATTATCACTAATCGATGATCATATAATCCAATTGATGATTTACTAATAAGATATGATTGAAGAAACTCAGTAGCAATCAATACTCAAAGTCAACCAGCATTTCATTGATAATCAATTATGTTACCCTTTTTTATCACCCACAAGACTCTGAAAGGAAGACATTCCCATACAACACAATAAAGAATTGAAATTCTTAAATCAGGTTACAGAAGATTTACTCAGCCTTTCAAATCCTGAGTTATCAGGTTCTTTTAGGATCACCACGAAATCACAATTTTATAAGTTAGAGTAATTTTAGTTTATTAGTCTTGACTTGCTAAAGGTTCAAATTCAACTGCACTTTGACTAGGATTTCTATCCTTACTCAGAGTCAAACTTGGTGAGTCCAGCGATCAACTTTCACTAGCTTTCCAAAGCTTTGACTAATCTTTAACCAGGATGACCAATAAGACCAGAGGCGACTTGATTAGCTTGGTTAACCACAAGAGAGTAAACAAGCTTAGTCCAACTAGCTATTATCAGCACTCTCTAACCAAAACTCAATGGCAGCAATAATCTTAAGTATTGAAATACTTTTAGAATCGGAGCTTGAAATCAGGCTTGAAGTATTGAAATACTTTGAACTAACACAGGACAACTTTACAGAGTCAGAAGGCAAGGATAGCACTAAAGATACCACAAATCAGGATTACAACAACAGAAACAGGCACAAAGACTAGAATCAAGATTTCTATGTCTATTAGGAATACAGTTGAAACAGGACTAATTAGCAGCATAGACAACACGAAAATACTGAAGTATTTAAATACTTGAATGAGGCACAGATTACCAAATTAAACAAAATTTATTTAAAACAAAAGATGAAATTAAGATGTGTATGGTAAGTAGCAGATACGGCTAGGTCAATATAAGGTTAATTGAGTAGCGAGTATGGCTATGTTCTTAGCATAACATTCATAAATTAACATAACTAAAATGACCAAATTGTCCAGTTATTTATACTTCTAATAACGGAAGGAAATTAGATTTAAATCTAAGGAAAAGGAAAGAAAGCTGCATAGTCTCTATGGACCATATAACTGTGACAACAATATTAAACAAAGGTTTACGTCATTTTAGGGATTAACACAAAATTGAAAAATGAGAACAAAAAGTATTGAAATACTTTTCCCTTACAAAAGCATAATTGAAATTAAATTGAATTAAATTGAAATTAAATGAATATTAAAAGAATTTGATTTTACAAATTGAACTTGGGCAACTCTACCCTTCATATCCCCTGACTTATGATGAAGATCCCAAAGTTTAATTTGTAAGATCATTGAAGAACACACGAAAGTTTTCAAACTTGTTCAGGCTGGCTTGATACACTTGATCGACGAGAGTTGCTTCTTGAATTTTCTCTTGAATTGTTCCTTGAACCTTCCCGTGAATTACTCCTTGAACCATGTCTTGAGCCAGGGTTGGAACCAGTCTGAGAACCTTGACTTGATCTTCTTGATCTATTCTCTGGTGTATGATAGCTTCCAGAATCTGAAACAACAGATTGAGCAGGACTCAATGGTTTGGGACTTGTAGGTGTTGAGGGTTCAGTTTCCTCAGCAACATCAGGAAGATTAGATCTTTTAGTTGCTCTAATTGCGTGCAAAATCCTTTTACTTCGAGACAGTGGTGTAAGATTTTCTTGAGTTTTCTTAAAGTCAGGCTTAGCCATTGCACTACCATCTTCATGTAAGATAAACTTTGAGGGATGAACACAATGCTCGTCATATCGAGGATATTTCGATATCCGTGGGTTATTTTTCCACTCTTCAGGCCATTTGACTAATCCTTTTTCAATACCTTCTTGAAATTCCTTGAGTAACGCTGAAGTGATTTTATTACCACAAGTGTCGGCAGCATTCTCATTGTGTATGCCTTTGAACTCAAAAGCTTTTCTTTCGATGGCTTGCCATTGTAAGAAATACAATCGAAGAGAAGTGATTGCTTCGACCACAGGTGAATGAGCGATAGCTGGCAAGGTGTACCCACAAAACCACAGAAATGCGACGGCATGTAATGTCATTGGTGACTCAAAGTAAGGAGAGTAAAAGTTCGTGATCTCTCTCAGCTTAGGGTGTAGATGCATTATTTCAAATCGAGTCAATCCTAAACTTAGGAATTGATTAATCAATCCACATCCAATGATTTTGCTTCCACAAACTAAGTACTTAAGTACTTGATCTCGAACAGAGTGAAGAGGTCTGGCATTCTGCAAATCTTTAACTGTTAAGCCATGAAATTCAGCATCAGCATAATCGATCTCCTTGTAATGAACAAAAGTCTCGTAGACAACTTCACTATTACCATCAACAATAGCAACCCAACATGGTCTCGGTCTTAGCTTATGATTTTCATAAATACGAATATAAAACATGTTGATCGAAAAGATTGTGTGACGATCAGGACAATTTGAAGCCAATTCATTAATACAATTAATTTGTTCCTCCAACATTGGTGGTAAGTTAGCCTTAGGTCGTTTCTCGAATGCTTCAGCTAATCTCTTTTTACGTTTGTTAACGCATTGAATTGTCCATTGATTATTAGACTTAGGAACAGGCTTCTTATAAATCGAGCGAGGGTTGAAACAAGACGGAAAATGTCTAGCCAATTGCTCCATTGCATCTTCAGCTTCGGATGGACTTAGTCTCTCGAAGGGATTTATTCTGATGAAAGGCGATTCAGGGTCCTCAATGTCAAGAGCATATAACATTGTTGATGAAATTGTTGATGAATGTTCAGAAATATCATCAGGAATAGGATCAATGTACTTTGACCATCGACGCCAATTTGCTGATTCTTTCAATAAGTATGTCGGAACTCGACTACATTGAACCATTGGCCATCTTCTCTCTACCTCAGGAATAGGAACTTCTGAACAACTAGGAAACCCAATTTTCAATGCAAAATCTTCAGCCTCACAAAGAGGTGCCGTAGGATCTTTAATCCTTTGATAGTTATTCCAATAACCATTTCCAAAATTAGCAGCAGCTCGCATTTGAATAGGTGTAATACTATTGGGATCCTTTCGTCTCTTCTGAACCAAAAATGCATAGACTAAGGCTTTTCGACGCCACATCTCAGGAATTGACATTGGTGCTTCTTGTTTCTTTAAATGAGCGGGCATCAACGATGAAATCGCAATTGGTTTTGAGTTTAACTCAGCTCGAACTGGACCAGAATAGAAACTTAACTGCAAAGTTTTATCAAACTTAAAGTCGAGAGGACCTTTCTTGCAGCTATAATAATGATAAGCCAATTGATTAATTTTCAAGTTAGCTTCACAAAACAGATGAATACATTTAAATGTGGCTTCCTCTAGAAATTTTCGAAGATCTGTACTTTGGATTGTTTTATATTTCGGATAGCCATGACGTTCAACAGCAATTAGACAAGTTTGATTAACGCATAAGAATTCATCTAAACCTTTAACCTTTTCCAATTCCAAATCTGAAGGAAGTCCTTGAAGCCATCGGATACAAGTAAGGCAGTAAGGTTTAGTGCATTTACCACAAATCTTTGGCAAGATTGCAATCTGCTCACAAAGATTACATGTAATGAGGTTTTTAAACCTAGCGAAGTCCTTATGGACAATTTTACCAGCGCTCAATCCTTTGAATAACTTGGAAAAGTTTACCTTGTCGAGATTGGTTTCGACTACATTGTACTGAATCTTCTCACGAATGAAAGTTTCAAACCAGGCTTGCTCTTCCTCAGCCTTTTTCATTTCTGCAGCAACATCTTCATGAACATCTTCAAAGAATTTAATTCTTAGATAAGGGTGTCGCTCTTCTTCAGTTGGTGGCCTAGGAGCTGGGAATTGTGTGTTGAATCGACGTTGATCAGGTTCAGGCGGAGGGTACGGTGACGTATCCTTTTCTTTTAATTCAACTTTTGACAGAGTCGATAGACCAAGAGCGGTTCGCTTAGGAAGAGGATCATAGAGTTTAAATTGTTCAAACCTTCTGTCAGTATTATGCACATCGATATCAAATGGATCTGTAAACTGTACATCATTGTTCTCGTCATTAGGCCATTTGAGTGAACTATCGTCTCCAGACGTTTTAGAAGTAGAAGGCCAATTTCCCCAACCATCAATTGCTTTTAATTCATTTTCACCACTAATAGTGTTATCAGTATTCTCAGGATTGTTGGTACTTCCAGAATTGACATTATTCTCAGCATTGTCATTACTTACAAGATTGTCGGAGTTTCCAGAATCGGCATTATTCTCAGTCTTTTCAGTAGTTTCAGCTACTTCAGAATTACCTCGATCTTCATTTTCTAGATCTACCAACGGATGTTTTTCTTCTTGTTGAGGCTTATTCGCTTGTTCAGCCATAATTTGAGCAAGTTGATTACCAAGATGTAATCCAAAGGCTATTGAGTCGTTAGAATCAGTTGAGTGAATTGAAGACGAATCGGAATGAACAGGTGAAGACATTTGAAGAATTGAAATTCTTAACTGCACAAATTTTTCACAAATTTGATGAACACAAAATTTTCCAAAGTTAGTTAAATCAGAGTTAATCAACCTCCAAGGTTCACAATTACGCTTATAAAAGCAGTTAAAGTTACTCAAAAGTTCACAGAGTAAGTCACAGACTTCAAAAGGAGAGAAATTTTTCAAAGAAAATTTCGATTTTCTTAAGTTGGAACAATTAAGTTCAGCACAATCGACAATTAGGTGAACAGATTCAAGTTTAGACTGAATTAAAGAATTGAAATTCTTGAAAAAAGATTGAATTAATTCAAAGAGAAAAGAATTGTTGAAATCAAATTTGAACGAAGAGTCAACTAAAGACAATGGTGTCGCAAATGAAAGTGACGAGAAGATTCTCTTCTCCCTTCTCCCTTCTAATTGTTTCTTAGGGTAACCAATGGCGCGTAAAGTAGCCAAATGGTAATTAGCGCAATCTTTAAATCTTTCAAGATTTTTAAGATTAGCTTTTTCAATCTTAACTTTTTCAAGATTTTGACTTTGAACTTCAAGCTTTGGAAAGCTTTTCAAGTCAACATTTTTCAACATGATTTCAACCAAGCAAACATTCAAAGTTTTTCTCTTTCGAGTTACAGGACCTTCTAATTCAGCATTTGAATTGTTCAGAATTTCATTTTGCATTATATCTCGATTAGCAGTCTTATATTTTCTCCTTTTCTTTTTCTTATTTTTCTGATTAACATTGGCATAAAAATCTTCATCTGCAATTGTAGACTTTTCAGACTCACTCTCAGCAAGAATTTCAGGGTTAGAATGATTTAAATCATTACTGGCATTAGAGACATTAGCATCAATTGAGTTTTCAAACTCATTTTCATCAGCATTGAAATCAGCATTGAAATGCTCCACAGATTCATTAACTTGGTCAGTAAATTCAGTTTCATTTTCAGCTTCTCTAATTACTTCTTCTCTTAACTCTTTTAATCCTTCAGGGATTACACCAATATGTGGTTTGGTTAGCTCCAAGTTTGAAGTAAACCTTTCTTTTGTATCAGGATTAAGAAGTAAAGCTGACCCGTGTCTAACACTTAAGACAATGTATGGACCAAAAAACTTATGAACCAACTTTTTCGTAGTTCCCAATGAAGGCGCACTATTTTTAACAAAACATAAATCTCCAACATGATAAGGATTTCTTCTTGTCATAGATTTCAATCTGTTCTGATAATACA